GGGGGGGTGGCATAAACCGAGAGTTGATTAACAACCGTATCCTACCACAAAGTCAGAGCTGATCAACTACTCTATCCTACCAGAAACTGAGCCTAAATTAACGGCCATATCCTACCGGAAACTGGAAGAATTAACTATCCTACTAGAAACTGATTTAGAAATGGAGGCTATCCCAAAAGATCTGAGATATGGTATTGGGAAGATAGGATCTTAGAGACAGTAACCTATTATAGTTACTTGGGCATTCATTTTCATCGCGTCTATGCTGGAGACGAACGCTGGAAGATTGAGCTTGTAAAGCTCAACGGATTGTTTCTCGAACAAGAAGGCTTTTCGGTTCTTACCAAGAATTAAATTTCGAAAAAACAAAAAACATTTTTGATATAAAGATTAAACCAATGCTGCTTTATGGCTTTGAAATTTGGGGTACCAAAAACTGGGATGCGATTGATAATGTTCAGGTAAAGTTCTGGAAAGCCTTTTTGGGTCTTGGAAAAACGACATCCAAATGTTTAGTTCTAAGACTCTTAGTAAGAGAAGTCGGAAGAACCAACTTAAGTTATGATTACATGCATTGTGTTATTAAATCTGGTGCAGACTTATACACTTAGAAAATTACAGATATTCAAAGAAATGTTACATGCAATTATATCGTTCCAGTGAACTGGGCAGAGTCAACTGGGCTACGGAAGTTTAAAAACCTATTATTTTCCCTGGGTTTTGGATATACCTGGTTTTCTCAAAATGTTGGAAGCACTAGACTCTTTCTCAGTGAAGTAAAAAGTAGACTTGTTGATCATTCTGTGCAGAACATAGAGGAAGAAGTCTGTCGCAAGTATAATTTATTCTCTCTTACAATTCTGTTTCAAGAAACAGCTGAATATATCACCAACCTCCAACGATATTGGAACCGAAGAATCATAGCTTTGTTAAAAACCCATAGCCTTCCACTAAATAACAATCTCTATTGTTGGAAATTAACTAATTCGCCCTTATGTGAGAGGTGTGACTCTCATGAAATTGAG